CTGAGACAGAATGAGCTCACTAGGTGGAACTGCGCATGTGTCGAACTCGTACATTGGCGCTCATTTAGCGGTTGAGTATACTTTGAAAGCTGTGCGGACACGGCTGTGCACGAGAGGGAGTGGAACACGAAAAAAGAAGTATAACTGGCCTTTATCTGACACACTCAGTTCAGTTCATGGAGCTCTCTGCTAATAAGTCGATGATCTGAAACAAGTGCGCTAAATAAGGACGACTTACAAAATGTGCAGAGCAGTGGGTCCACAGGACTGGAGTTAAGAACCACTGAGCTTATACAGAGGCAAGAGGAAAAGAAAAAATACCATCTAAACTTTTCTAAAGACAGTAAGTCCCCCTCAGACATACATTCATATGAACTCCTGCCCCTAATTGAATCGCGATTTGTTTAGCATCTCAACCGATTTGAATCGACACATATTTAAATCGATTTTCGACCGGCTCGCGGTTAATCGTTACATTCCTAGCGCTAAATAAGGACGACTTACAAAATGTGCAGAGCAGTGGGTCCTCAGGACTGGAGTTAAGAACCACTGAGCTTATACTGAACACATACAGTATGTGCTGAAATGATACATTTACTGTACTTTATAAGACCAATCTGGACTTATACTCATATTTGCAATCAAAGTAGTTCATTTTTTCAGTTTACGCCAAACATAACATTGTGAATGTTATGCAATATGCTGTTCACCTATCTATATTCCAGAACAACATTTTTGCTCTGGAAATGCATTATTTTGTTCATTCAGTTCATCTTTCTCCTCATTCTTCCCCCTGTCAAATAGTCGCACCATTAAGGTCATTATTACATCTTTCCAAAATATTATATCAAATAAATATTAAACAAATATGCAGTGTATTGTCAGAACAGACCTGAGATCTATTTTTTCCAACCCTCCTGTTGAGAACGCCCTCTGTAGATTGTATGATTGTATCATTGTATGATTTTGGTTTTGTGTTCTATTTTAAGGTTTAGAACACTTAGAACATTCTTCAAAATATCTCTTTTTGTGTTTCACAGAAAAAGTCATAAGTTTGCAAAGGGTGAATAATTGATGACAAGTGTTTTTTGGATTAAATGTACTTTTAAAATCATATATTTGGGTAATTCATTTTTAATAATTCAGGGTTTTAGGTTAATTTTTGGTTTGCTTTATAGTTTGGTTTGTGCATTATCCAGCACTGGAGTCTCTTGGCTCTTTGTTGCTGAATTGAAGGTTCTTGTCTCACTGTCTGTGTGTCAGGTATTATCTTTCATTCATCTCACTGGCTGTCTTTGTTCCTTTCAGTCTGTCTGTCCCTTTGTTTCTCAGTCTGAATTGTGAAGTAACCCCCACATCTATCTTTTCTACTCCCTATCCTTTATGAAACATCCTTTAAATAACACAGCTTTTCATTCACATGCTGATATGTGTTTACTTACTGCCTTTAAAGCTTATTACAGCGAGAAGGACAGTCAAATGACAGCATTGCAGTCTACTTTGTATGATGAAAAAAAAAGTAAATAATAAACAGAGCAGGATTTGCCTTTTTGAAAAATAAATAAATAGTGCTTAGATATTTCAGTTTTGTTAGTCAGTGGAGATAAATCTAACAGTCTCCTGTAGCATTGCTTGAGGTGCCCACTTTTAGGTTAAAAATAAGGTAAATATAAGATACATTGGGCTTTAAAGTCCAAAGTATAGTTGACATAAATTCACAAAATTCACAAAGCGAAGAATATTAAAACAGCTCATTGTATTTCCTGCTAGAAAATGTCACATGCAAAACAACCATTTTGTTCTCTTCTAAAATGTTTAATTTTTAACTCTGATATGCATTTGTATGTAAAATATATTTATGAATATTCCAAAACTCTCTGACGGTGCATTAACTATATAGGATAGGTTGTTGTTGTCATATTTCTAAAAAAAATTAAAAATAATAATCTAACAAAAAAAGTATTATGGAAATAGATGGAATACACATCTTGTTTATTACATGGCTCTCTGAAATGCTTGATTCTGATTGGTCAGTCGAGGTATGTTATTCCCCAGTAATGACCGTCATTAGTAGAACACTAAAAAAACAGATGGCTCATCCGGGTATCTGAGGGTTCATGTCTCTCATATCACACAGAGGACTCACTCTCTCTCGTTTCCTTCAGATGCAGCTGATGCCATCTTGTGTCTCGCTTATCGACTGTTTTGAAAATGAAATCTGAGGACTTCAGTATTAGCAATACTATAATATTTTTGTAGTGTTCGTGTTGTTGCCAGGATGATTGCTTTGTACATTTTAACAGATTAAACAGTTGAACTCAATAATTGTCCACATAATAAATGTCCACATAATTATTTATTTGGTGAAAAGTCATGTAATAAGTGGTTTGACTGTACATTATCACTTAAAATGTTCGTCTTGTTTGAACTTGTGCGTTCATCTTGATTCATAGACAAACTGTTTTTAGTGTAAACTTTGAGTTTTGAGCTAATAAAATAATTCTACTCGAATATTTTGTGTCCATTTATTTATAGTATTGCATAGTAGCCATGTAATTGTCAGGATTTTGGACCTGCGTTCATCTTGATTCATAGACAAACTGTTTTTAGTGTAAACTTTGAGTTTTGAGCTAATAAAATAATTCTACTCAAATATTTTGTGTCCATTTATTAGTATTGCATAGTAGCCATGTAATTGTCAGGATTTTGGACCTGTTTTGTTTGTTTTTCCTCCCTCACATGCTCCATGTTCTACCTGTGTCCTAGTTTTCCCCCATGTTTGATTATGCCCTTATTTGGTCTTTCCTGTTCCTGTTCCCATTATGTTCGTTTGTTTCCAGCTGTGTCCCATTTATTCCCTCGTTTGGTTCATAGTATTTATGCCCTGTGTTTTCCTTTGTCCAGCATCTTTGTCCAGCAACGTGTGTTCCTACCTGCCCTGTGTTCCCCTGGTTGTGGTTTGATTATTAAAGACTGTTTATTGTATTCTCCTACGTTCTCCTCGTTCCTCGCTCCAATGCAGTAGCAGCATCGTGGCAGAACACTAGACATAAGAACAGTAAGCAGCGCCCCTTCTCCCTGTGTTTTTGTTTCTGTTTTGAAAGTTTTCTGTTTTACGTTTCCCCCCTGCCAAACCGCCGCGAGATACGCCGCCCTAGCTCGCAGGGATCTTCCCTTTGTGGAGTACGCCAGGGAATTCTGCGGGCTCGCAGCGATGACGCCGTTGGATGATGCCACGCTGAATTCGCTGTTCTGGATCGGGGCCAACTACCATCGCCCCGTGGACCTCCCAGACGCCACTGGACTGAGCTGGAGGGAAGGTATCCTCTGGTGTCTGGAGAGTGTCTGGCCACGATTCAGAACCAGCCCGCCGTCAAGCCCGCCAGCCTCTCCAATGCCAAGCCCGCCGGCCGCTCTTACGTCAAGCCCGCTGGCCAATTCCCTCCCAAGCCCTCAGCTGACAGCAGCCCGCTCCTTAACCCCAAATCAGAGGAGGAATATGCAGAGAAAAGGACTGTTAGCTCCAGCCCCTGAGTCCGCTCCAGTGTCGGCTTCAGCCCCTGAGTCCTCTCCAGTGTCGGCTCCAGCCCCTGAGTCTGCTCCAGATCCCATGTCCAGCCCAAAGAGGGCTCCAGTCCCCGAGTCTAACCCAGGGAGAACCGCTTTTCCTACGTCAGGGCCCATGGAGGGCCTCAGAACCCGAAATTTCCCCCAAGGATTTTTTTTGGGGGGGCTATAGGGCTCTGGCCGTAGAGGCCGGGCCGAGTGCCGAGGCCAAGGCCACAAAGGCCGCTCTGCCATGGCCCCCTGAGTTCCCTGCTCCGCCATGGCTCCCTAGTCTGCCTGATCCGCCATGGGTCCTGGAACGGATACCGCTCTGGAGGCTGTCCGTCCCGTGTAAGCCTGTCCCTAGAGGCCTCCAGAGCGCCCGCCCCCCGGAAGGGGGGAGTAATGTCAGGATTTTGGACCTGTTTTGTGTTTGTTTTTCCTCCCTCATGTGCTCCATGTTCTCCCTGTTTCCTAGTTTTCCCCCCATGTTTGATTATGCTCTTATTTGGTCTTTCCTGTTCCTGTTCCCATTATGTTCATTTGTTTCCAGCTGTGTCCCATTTATTCCCTCGTTTGGTTCATAGTATTTATGCCCTGTGTTTTCCTTTGTCCAGCATCTAGTGTTATACGTCTATGTACTACATGTGTTCCTGCCTGCCCTGTGTTCCCCTGGTTGTGGTTTGATTATTAAAGACTGTTTATTGTATTCTCCTACGTTCTCCTCGTTCCTCGCTCCACCGCAGTAGCAGCATCGTGACAGTAATAAGCAGGATAATGTATATTAAAACTTATCATAGAAGAAACCACTTTAGGGTGATACAAGACCCCTTTGTTTTATGATAAAAACTTGCTGGATGGCTTACATTTTCTAAACCAATTATTATTATTAGCCTTAATATGTAACTAATTTAATTCAGTTCAATAAAATAGATTGTTAAAAAGTTCCGATATTTTTTCTACAGTATTGAAAATGGTACCAAGGACCATTTGTCATTTTGTTTCATGAAGAGCTCATATTAAAGAGCAGATTTTATGTTAAGTCATATCTATATGTCTTTTAAAGAATTCACCAGAGAGGAAAACTTTAGCATGTGATCCATATCTTTTATTCCTGTCATAATGAAATAAAAAATGTGCTGTAAAAGTGCTTGAAAGGTCCTCGAAATTTATCACTGACAAAGAGTGGGAACATTGATTTCATTATTTTCAACCCTCATGTACACCATGAGTAGTCAATAAAACTTGACAATATGATTTTTAATCATTTCTTGTTTTCATCATTTGATGTGCAGAGTGTGCGTAAATACAATGAGAATTCACTGATTTTTGGTCATACACAACGTGACTTTCATTATGTAGTGAATGATGAATGCTATGATTGTAGTGAATGGTGATATGCTATGATGCTATACTTGCACAACTCATCTTTTTACTAACTCTTTTGTGTGCAGAACAAAGAGAAAGAGCGGAAGGCACGGGAGAAAGAGACAAAGGAGCGTGAGTCGCGTTACAGCAATGGTCACCTGTTTACCTCCCTCAGTGTTTCTGCCACCACACTCTGCTCTGCATGCAACAAGAGCATCACTGCAAAAGAAGCCCTCAGCTGCCCAAGTGAGTAACATGCATTATAGTTACACTAAAACATGATGTTTGATAAGCCTACTTCAAACTCCATTATACTATTGAACACAACCCCTTGGGAGGAGGAAAAACTGGTAGATTATCCTGAATCAGCTAAGGGTAGTTCAGAGGATGTTGCAAGATAAGAAAGTGGAGCTACAAGCTAAAGAGCACAAAAAAGTTTAAAGGGGTCATATGATGCGATTTCAAGTTTTCCTTTCTCTTTGGAGTGTTACAAGCTGATTGTGCATAGATAAGATCCCTGAAGTTGCAAAGACTAAAGTCTCAAAACCAAAGAGATATTCTTTATCAAAGTTAAGACTCTGCCACACCCCCCTAAAACGGCTCGTTCTAACACGCCTCCACATATCTACCTCACTATGTGGAAATATTTGCATAATGCCGCCC